ATAAATTGCTAAAATAAATAACAAAAAATAATTGAAACGAGGTAGCCCATCGGGACCGATTAGGGGAAGAAGAGGAAGAGTAAAATAAATAAATAAAATAACACTTCCATGAAGTTAATATTTTAGAAGAAAGAAAGATTAGGAGTGCCTAACAATTGGGTATCTATTTTTCTTTTAGTTTGTTGGAAATCTTGGCAGTGGCGGAATGATTTTCAGCATGGGTCTTTGTTTCCTGATCTGACTTCTAGGGTGTTGTCTAAACAAAAGATGGCTAGTGAAGTTGAAGACGCGTTTTCCAACCCCAACAGTCCTCGACTGGGTCACAAAACAGTGATCGCCAATATTTTTTGGCAATTCCCTGAGGATGGTTTTATCAAGATTAATTCGGATGAGGCAATGCATGGCAACCTTGGTCTATTTTCTTGTGGAGGTATTATTCTGGATTCAAGTGGTACTTGGCTCTGCGTTTTTGGCTTCAAGTTTGGTACGTGTTCATCTTTCAAAGTGGAGTTGTGGGGCATTCTTCAGGGTCTAGAGTTAGCCTAGAATGAAGGCTTTCAGAATATTTAACTTGAAAGTGACTCAACATCTATAATCATTATGCTCACCAAGCAAGGTGCAACAGTCCATGAGAATCATCTGATTACTTATATACGGACATGGTTACATAGAGACTGGAGGTTAAAGATTCGTCATACTTATAGAGAAGGTAACATGTGCACTGATTGGATGGCTAATTTTATCTTAGATAGTGAGGAGGATTCGAACAATGTTATTTTTCGGGATCCTCCTCAAGGAATTCAGTATCTGTACTTAGCAAATGTGTCATCTACAGGGAGGGCTCGTTCCCTGATAGTCTTGTAGTGTTTTTTTTTTTTTTTTTGCTCTTGTTTTGTTTTGAGCTCCGACCCTTTTATTTACCAAAAAAAAAAGAAAGAAAGAAAGAAAGAAGTCATCTTCAACCTTAGTATTTACTTTTATCTTCCTTATTACAAAGCTTCCTTACTCTAAAATTCCTTTCTATTTCTCTTGCTCTTTCTTAGTAGAATTTTCTCTAAATTTTCCAAGTCCCTTCGCTTCTTGATTTCTCTCAATTTTCAAACAATAATTAATGCTTTATCTAGCCTCTATTTATGGGGAAAATATTACAATGCTAATGGTAGAATTAATATGGTAATAGTAAAACATTATTTACCTAATAATCATTAAAGAAAACATTTCCGTGTGGAATATCTTGGAATTTAGTTTATGAAAACTTATGATTGATTTATACATTTTTGGAGTGTTGTTTATAACAATTTATTATTGATTTATATATTTTTGGATGTAGTTTATGATAATTTATGAATGATTTATATATTCTTGGAGTATTGTTAGTAATAATTTATGATTGGTATATAGTTTTTGGAATGTTGCTTGTAATAATTTGTGATTGAATCATATATTTTGAATTATTTTTTATAATAATTTTGTGATTGAATTATATATTTTCGAGTGTTGTATTTAATAGTTTTGTGATTGATTTATGTGTTATTATTGTTATTATTATTTATTATTATTATTTTTCAGGGTTTTACAGTTGAATAAAGAGAAAACTACAAGACCAAAAAGTGAAAGCATCCGTAAGAGAAATCCAATAAAGGTTCTAACTTCTAAGAAATTCAAGGGCAATTACTATAATTGTGGTAAGCCAATATAATGGAGACAACTTCTAATGGGGTTGATGATATGGACCCCGTGGTGGTTGTGTTTGAACGTAACTTAATGGGAAACATAAGGAATGATGAGTGGACATTGGAGCCAGTAGGCATATGGGTGCTAATAGATGGATATTTTCTTCCTATGCTCCAACTAAGGAAGATGAAAAGCTCTATATGGGAAATTCTACAACCTCGAAGGTCGAAGGCGTTGGAAAAGTGGCCTTGAAGATGATATCGGGAAAAGTAGTAACTCTTACTAATGTTCTTCATCTGCCTAACATTCGCGAGAACTTGGTTTATAGATCTCTCTTGAGTAAGAATGGCTTTAAGCTAGTGAAGGTCTCTTCAAGATGAATGTAATGACTGTTGCAACCAAGGATGCTAATATAAATAATAATGTTTCTTTTGTATTTGCTTGAGTCTCCTGATTTATGGCATGCTAGATTAGGACACGTTAATTTCAAATCAATTAAAAGGCTAATTAATATGGATTTACTACCTATATTTGTTCAAACAAAAGGTGCAAGTTTGTGTTGAATCCAAATTTTTGAATTAGTATGGAACACTTTCTTTTCCAAGTGAAATCCCCGAGTATATGAAAGAGTGAAAAAATGCTTTCGTTGTTGTGGAATAAGAAGCTTTCGTATCTTAATACATGTATTTAATTTATTCGGAGCTATTAGAGCGGGATCTACTTTTTCGAGAATATGAGTCAAAGCAATAACAAGAATATTTCTAGTGGAACATCTTTCACAATCCCTAGAGTGATAGTTCACTAATAGACCGAGGGATAAGTAATTCGACTCATTTACATCCCCACCGTTAACTACTTCAATTGAATAGTAATCAAAATACATGTCCTACCAAGACATAATTTGTAACTTGCTATCCTCTTACCTAGCGGGCACAGATTCACCTCCGTGGAAAAGATGATTCATTTGAATCGACATGAGAGTCCAACCACATTGTATTTCCCGAACCCATGTTGTATATTTGACAGAGGTTGACCTACTTGGTTCTCTCATGTTACAATCCTCTTACCGCTGAGCTCCCTTTCTCCTCGGTCAACACAGAAAATATTTTGGACTGGTGCCAAAAGTTTATCACGAAAGAAAGGGCTCAATAGAACCATAATGGATGATTTTATCTTTCTTACCAGTTCTTCCTCTTGAATCGAGACCTATTATTTAAATAGATGGGGGCAAACTAATGAGTTCGGATATTAATGAACTCTATCGAAGAGTTATCTATTGGAACAATACTCTTATCGATTTATTAACAGCAAGTCGATCTACGCCTGGGGAATTAGTAATGTGCAGGAGAAATTGGTACAAGAAGCCGTGGATACACTTTTTTGGAATGAATAGGATGTAGAAAGTAGGGATTTAAGGAAGCCTACATAGGAGGCAAAATGAGAAGGCTTTATAAGGCCTAGCCTCACTCTCCATGATTGCCTTTTGGGGCATCCCACTTTTGTAAGAGGGGATGACGTAGGTGATGTGTGGTTCTCCACACACGTGAGTTATCATCGTTCGTCCGGCCTGTAGCCGTGCGAGTGGGAAATAATTTTTTATTTAAAATTATTTTAATTTTTTCTCCAAAATGCTTGCCCTAATTGGAAAATTCCAAATTTGTCCTTAATGGTCCCTAACGATTTTGCCTCAATCCGTCATAATTTTTCACGACCATTCACCGGTGTCTTTTCTGAATCGATCAGAAGTAAATGTTCACCAGTGTCATTTTGCCGCGAAACTAGTGTGTTTCCAGTTACCGTCCGGTGTTTATAATTAGGATCGATGGCTTCAGAAAATCCACTCAATTTTCTAATCCCACACTAATATTCAGCCAAAATTATTCTGCATTCTTTGATATCTTGTGAGATCTTTCCAAGCATTCAATTGTTCCATCGAGGCTCTTGATCGATAGTGTTAGCGTTCTCCAGACGAATCCGTTCTACCTTAAGAAGTGATTTCCATTGTTCTTCGGCATCGGTAGAGAAGGTATATTCGCTTTAAGGGAATAACTTCGGTTTGGATCGAATTTTCTGCATTTGTTACCATTCATTGTGTTGTTTGTTCCTTTGTAACAGGTTCTTAGTTTATAGATTAAAGTACCTTTTGGGTCCTCAACAAACATCACGTGGGCCATTTTAATTCTTAAGAAAAAAAGTCGACTTGTGGTTCCTTTGAAATTCAAAATAGATACAGTTAGTTGAAATTGTGGTCCCTCTGAAATTCAAAGAAGACCCACGTTAGTCCTTCAGAAGGACTAATATGGGTCTATTTTGAATTTCAGATGAACCATGAGTCGATTTTTTCCTAATGAATAAAACTGAGCCCCATAATATTTGTTAAGGATCCAAAAGATACTTTACTCTAATTTCTATTTCTGTTTTGAATTCAGCTACATAAATTCTTACTTTTGTTTGATTTTCATTTAATGTTTTACATACACCAGCACTAATATATATATATATATTTATGTGTGTGCGTGTGGGGCAAAAAATATTTCTTTAATAAAAGCAAAAATGTTAAACTCTTATAATTAATCACATTTTTCAGCATTATCGTATGTAAATTTTATTTATTATTTTTTGATAAAATAATAAGAAGATCCTAAAGTAAATTATAATGTTATAATAAAAAATTTAGCAGTGTTTAAAAATAGTTATAAAGTTGTAGCTGAAGCAAAGTGAGTGTTTATAAAATTTAATTTTTTATATTTTCCTTAAACCTTAAAATAAAATTAACCATAATATTTTAAAAAAATATATTAAAATAGAGATTGAAATAAAATTAATATCACATAATAGGTTGATAAAAAAAATCACATGATTAAGAATACAGACTTGACTCAATTATTGAGATCAGTGTGTTTAATATCACATGATTCATATTCCACATTACCAGCTCCAGGTGGCACATATAAGAATACAGATTTTTTGTGTCTCTCTTGGTACCGAATATATTTCACGTCAACTTACCATTTTTTTATGATATAATTAATGTCCATTGTTCCAATCCAACGCACAAATCGTCACAACAAATCTCAAGAGAAAATAGTAGATTGTCCAAACGTGCTTTATTTTTTAATGTACAGCCCTTTGTTTATAGCCCGTGTGGTCCGTGGCTAAGGGCAGTGGAGGACTTGAAAAAAAAAGGTTGAGAAATGAGAACTACCGCTATAAAGAGTCAACAAAGGGTACTCCTATTCTGCACCTAACAGGAATAGTATAGCTCTGATTTGTGAAACAGAGCTATATAAGTGTTACTGTCAATTACATTTCAGTGACCACTACTTATGAAGGAGGAACTAAAAACACCTATGGACGCATCGGCAGCTAGCTGGTTATCTGATTTGGTGGTAAGAAATTCATTTCACTCTTTCAATCTTAAAATTGCGAAAATAGATGATTATAAATTCTTTAACACTTTTTTTTTTTTTTAATTATACTTATGCAGGAAATGGATGATTACAATTTATTTCCTGAGGAATGCCCTTTGAACTTGCTTGATGTTGATGATGAAGAGTTCCTTTCACATGACATAGCAAGTGCCTTAGAGGGAAAGGCCCTGCAACAATCTTTATCTCCTGAGTGCACTTCCATAACTCTGAGCAACTCATCAACTGATGAAACCAGTTTTGACTTTGAGAGACCAACTAAGGTGTTGAAAACAATTAGCACAAGTTGTAACTCATCAAGCATCACTGAAAACTTTTCATCAAAACTTTCCCCATCACCGTCCATATCTTCCTTTCAGTCACAGATTCTGTCTTTTGACAACTCAAACGCATCCCCTGCTAACACCACCCAGTTTTATGGGTTTGACTGTGCCTTAAACCCAAATCAGAACGATGTGGTTTCAGTGTCACTTTCCCAATTGGGAAATAAGCATTTCCCAACTCAAACCCCAAACGGGTCCTCAAAAAATCAAAACTTTGAAACAAAAACCTCACAAACTAAGAGGTCTCCACTTCACGCTCAGGATCACATCATGGCTGAGAGAAAGCGAAGAGAGAAGCTCAGCCAAAGCTTCATTGCTCTTGCAGCTCTTGTTCCTGGCCTAAAAAAGGTACATTGCATTCTACTATGCTAGCTCTTAGATCAAGTTTTTGTTATGAATTGGTTAAAAGATAAGCAATTTATCAATACTCTAGCTTGAGACACTAATTAATCATATGGGAAATCTGTTGATCCACACAGATGGACAAGGCTTCGGTATTAGGAGACGCTATCAAATATGTGAAAGAGCTTAAGGAGCGTTTAGCAGTTCTAGAAGAACAGGGTAAGAAAACGAGGGTAGAGTCTGTAATGGTTCTGAACAAACCAGAACTCAGTGGTGATGATGATTCCTCCTCATGTGATGAGAGCGTTGATGCTGCTGGTGCCACTGAATCACTCCTCCAAGTTGAAGCAAGAGTTTCAGGGCAAGAGATGCTGATTAGGATCCACAGCCAGAAACAAAAGGGTCTTCTGGTCAAAATACTGGCCGAGATTCAAAACCTTCACCTATTCGTCATCAATAGCAATGTCTTACCTTTTGGAAAATCTATAATTGACATAACCATCATTGCTCAGGTAAAGAACAATCTCTACCTTAATATAATTGAGTATTTTGTTCAGTTTCCCTCATTTTATTATCCCTTTGACACTTATTTTATTCTATTATATATTTTTTTTTTTTTTGTGTAAATTTTACATTTAGGGTATCTTACGATTTTAATTTAATTGTATTTGAATTTTATTATTTTGCAGATGGGGGATGGTTACAACTTGACCATTAAGGGACTTGTCAAGAATCTACGCGCGGCAATATGTAAATTTATGTCACAGCATGTGGCGTGAGTGTGGGAGTTTGTCCTCGGATAAATACAGATTGAAAGTCTGAATCACATTTAATGCACCATCTACCAGGGGAATCCCCAAAATGGAAGCCTTTCTATTAATGGGTGATGTATGTTGTTCCACGGAGATATTTTTATCAAGAAGGGTAGAGCTCGATCTCCCATGGGATCTTGTCTTTCACTTGTTAATTTTTGCTCTCTCAGGCTTTCATCAGTGTTTGCCTCCTTGACAGGAAAAGAATAATTGAATCATTTTGTGGAGATAGTAGAAATATTTAATTCTGACACCGCTTAGCGAGAGATAGTTGAAATACTAATGAAATTCTTGCTGATCAATTAATTATAGAGTAAATATTCAGCAAATTGTTTTAGGCCCTAAGAAATAAAAAGGTCTATTGTGTTCTTTATAAAATTTAAAATGAATCTATTTAGTTGAAATTGTGATTTCTCATAAATTTAAAAAGAACACATATTAGTTTTTAAAAGGACTACAATAGGTTCATTTTAAATTTCTTAGGGACCACGGTTGATCTTTTTATTTGCTAGAGATTAAATCGGATATCATGAAATTTACTAGGACCAAAAAAAGATATTTAGTCTTAATTATAATATTGAGCCGCTTGCGTATTCGTCGGTCACCTCCATACTGGGTCAAAGTTTCTCTTTCTTTCTTTTTTGGTTAATCTTAAAATGCACAAATATCACATTGTAGGATCTGCAAAGATTAACCCACAAAAAATAGGAAGTCAGAATTTTAATAGATGTGTAGAAGAAAAATCTTCTCTCATATGAGAAAAGATTAACTCTTTTTTTTGAGTATTTTTGTATAAACGAATTATAGCATGGATGATACGAATATACTCTACTGGTAATTTCTAACTGAAAGTGGAAAGGGAATAGGAATATGCCACTGACTCAACAATCCAAGTCTAGTTCGAAAAACGAAGAGCTCCTAACGATTTCTTTTTTATTATTATTAATAATTAGTTTGTACGGTAAAGACAATTTCAAGCTTACTTTTCTCTTAATTGTGATTAAGTTTCACCTCAACGAATTAGTTCGGAGTATTTAAAGAATTGATTAATTCTTCTTAATATTGATTCAAATTTTGAGTCTAGAGTGAAAATAGAATATTCATCAATTCTACTTGCTAGGAGCTTATTCTTCATACTTAGAGATTTCAAGTTTGAATCATAAAAAAGAAAATAATACTAAGAGAGTCACCTAGATATGAATCCAACACGGTTCAAATTAAATTAAATCGGTCTAAATAAAAGAAATAATCCGCTAATTGATTAATCATAACGAAGTCGAAACTATTATGGTGGTTTTTTTTTTTCTTTTTTCCGCTCAATTGTTGTAATTTTTCCACTCAATTGTTGCAACAGAACAACATTGTTCAATTTACGATGAAAAATACGGAGTTTTTGAAGGGGCAAAAAATAGAAAGGGTTTTAAGATATCAATAAATGAACATATAACTAATACATTAAAAAAAAGTTTAATGTTTTTACTGTGACAGAACATCCAGTGAATCTAAAATAATGTCATTTTGAGATTAAAAAAAATATTTTTGTAATTCTATTTTATTTTAAAATTATATCAATCTTTATAATTATAAAATTTTAATCTTCTAACCTCAAAATAATATCATTTTAGACTCATTAAAAATAAACTATTTTCATTGACCGAAGATATATTAAATCATTAAAAAAATATAAAAAATTGCAACAGAAATGTAAGGAAAGATGTACGAGCGTCAGTAGCGTTAAAAGAAAAAAGAAAAAATTGCAAGAGAAATGTAGGGAAAGATGTACGAGTACGAGCGTCAGTAGCATTATTTTTCCCTATCGATTGGATTATGCATATCCCTTTCCCATAACTTACATGTATCCCGCAAACTTGTCACAAACTCACAATACAATTTAGGCATGTTTGAATTCTATTTTTAAAAATAATTTTTTTATTTTCAAAAAAAAAAAAAAATGTTTGATAAGGTCTATTTCCCATAAGCTGCTCCCATTGCTATTCAACACTTATCAAGTCTCTCAACAATGCCTTTGCCCATAAGGATCTAGGCAACCTTCACTATTTTCTTGGTATCGAAGCTAAGTCTTCATCCCATGGTGCTCTTCATTTGACTCAATCCAAATATATAGCTGATCTATTAAAAAAGACAGGAATGACAGATTGTAAATCTCTACCTACTCCTATGGTATCCAGTTTAAAGCTTTCTTCTAAAGATGGAACTCCCTTCCATGATCCCTCATTATATCGATCTATTGTAGGTGCTCTCCAATATGCAACTGTGACACGTCCTGATATTTCATTATGTGTAAACAAAGTCTGTCAATTTATGCAATCTCCCCTTGATACACATTGGCAAGCTGTCAAACGAATCCTACGATATCTCAGTGGCACTCAGCATCTAGGATTGGTTATTTCTCCTTCCTCACGTATTCATCTTCAAGCTTACTGTGATTCTGATTGGGGATCTGATGTAGATGATAGATGCTCCACTTCTGAATTTTGTGTCTTTCTTGGGGGAAATTTAGTATCATGGTCTTACAAGAAACAACAAGTTGTAAGTAGATCAAGTATAGAAGCTGAATACAGATGCCTAGCTGCAACAGATGTTGAAATCATGTGGATCAAGTCACTGTTATCTGAACTCAAAATTGATTTACCACATACTCCCAAGATTTATCGTGATAATCTAAGTGCTATTCTCCTCACAGCCAATCCTTTTTTTCATTCAAGAACAAAATATTTTGAATTGGACTTGCATTTTGTTCGTGAAAAGGCACTGGACAAATCAATTTCTATGCATCATGTTCCCTCATCTGATCAGATAGCAGATGGTCTTACAAAGGCAGTAACAAGGTCAAAGTTTCTTGAATTAAGAGATAAGCTCAGTCTTCGATCCTTAAATACTGAGCTTGCGGGGGATGAAAGACTAACTAAGTTTGACTGACTTCTAACAAGTTCCATATTATTAGCTAGTTAGTTATAACTCACTTTAGTTAGTTCTGAGTCTTGTATATATTGATAGACTCCTTTGTAATTCATTAAGAGATTCATTTCTCATTTTTATTCAATATACAGTTTCTTTCCATTTTCTCTTTCTCTCATCTTTACTATTGTATCTGATACCTTACAATTTATAACCTCTTACAATCATATATTAACGGTTGATTCCGTCAATTAACGATTATTACTTTGACAAATCAAACTCATTAATTAATTATTAATTTACAATAAATAATAATCGTTGATTGACGAAAATCAATGGTTATAAATGAAAATAGGTTACAGGTATAACATTCTTTATAAATTTTAACAGTTTTTTAGTTTCTAGAATCAAATTTACAAAACATATCTAAGTTATTTTTGTTTTGTATTATGACTTTTAATCTTCAAAAAAATAAATATAAAAATCACCTATTTCATTAACTATTCTATAAAATATTTGAAGAACAAAAAAAAAACACAATCAAACATATTCTTAAACTCTGAAACTACAAAGCATAGCTCCTACTCTATATATCTTGAATTTCAAAACAGAATTTTTTTTTTATACAATAATAGTAATGAGATTTGAATCTATGCAAACTATTCAAACTCTTTATTATTAAACAATCCCGATGACTTTCAAAATAAAATTATTAGCATCTAAGATTTAATACGGATATTTCTATTAATTTTTTTCAGTTGTGTAGTACTTTTCGAACTAAAATTGTAAGAAAATTGATCATGAATCATGATCCTAATTTATAGCCATTTGCATTCGGAGTTACGTAACGGAAACTTTAATACTCTGCAATGGGTGAATAAGGTTGGTGAGATTTTGTTCATTGCGTCTAATCCTAATAGTGAGAAGTAAATTTAATATGGGATTTGCATCTATCAGTCACATAATACAAAAAAGTTTTCTATACATAATATTTTGTGAGGTTCACAGTCTTTAAAGTTTTTAAAGCAAAAAAAAAAAAAATTAAAGCACGCAAAACGAATTTCTATAACATTACACAATCACTTTTACTACAACATAACTCTTACAAAATCCATTTAATATTTGACTGAAAAGAAAAATCTTTGTCCATCCTGCCTCCAGTACTCAATGTCATTTGAGTTTTTGAGTTAGCGCATCTTACTATCATAAATTGAAGATCGGTATCTTATTCATTCCTATTTGATTTTATTATCTTATATCCCATAATCTGCCTAAATCTTTGTGAATTTTAAGGGGAGTACAAATCACATGGTCCCACGTGACATTTTAGACCCCACACAGAAAAGAGCATGTTTCAACAATTATATTGTCGTCGCTACAATCTAAGAATGATTTCACACGATGCTGAAATTTTTTGTTTGCCGCTCAAAAAATACGGGGACATTTAAATAATTCAAGCACGTTTTGTTAATTGCAATGGGAATCCACGATTCGTTTTTTCAACTTCAATTCATAGAATTTTAATTGGGAAGAGGATTTATAGACAATTATATATTGCAGTCTTTATTTTCAAAAAAAAAAAATTGCAGTCTTTTTATTTTCCATTAATTTATATTAGATAGTGCTCAAGTCAATTTTTACATATTTAATTTAACTAATGAAGATTTTTTTTCCCCTCTCAAAACCAGACCTTTATGTCAAAACTATGGGATCGACAAAGAATTTTTTATAATCTTAATCCGCAATAGTTTAAACATGTAACTATTGTTCTTGTTTACATCTACATCTATCACTAAGATAATCTCTAGAGCTTATCATGTAAATTACAGCAAAATGTGTTAAAATTTCTTCTTGAGGAAATTACTAAGAGCTCCTTTATATAGATGTTGCGGACTCGATAAGTGCACCAATCGTACAAATAATAAAGTAAATAAGTAAGAGTATTGTTCTCATAATAATTATATATATTTAAAGAACTAATTCGCTATTTATACTTAAGTTGAACAATTGATCAAGAGAGTTAAATGAAAACTAAATTAAAAGCAAAG